AAAAATAGAAAAAAAAAGAATATCTCAGCATTTTTCTCTGAATTTTCTTCATTAAAATACATTTTTCTAGTCTAACCTGTATCTTAAAATTCTCAATAATTAAAAAAAAATTCTCAATAATGCTGCTTTAATTATTTGGAATCAAATGTGTTTTAGCTTGTTTCCAGTTCTTGCATGCTAGAAATTAATGTTAAAAGGGAAATTTCCATTTTTTATTATATCCCTACTTAAATGAATTTTATCATTGGATAATAGACATTGAGCAATGTCCTATATATTACAGAAGTGAGCAAATAATTTCATTCCTGAATATTTAATTTTTAATAAAATTTTGTACTTTATTCTTTAGTTTTTCATAGGTTACCAAATTTTAGACAGATTGGTTATAATTGTACTACACATTTTCTGACTTTGTCCACCAGTATTATTTTAAATATTTTGGAGAAGGGAAATAAATGAAGCTAAAATAGTACATCACATTACGTCATAATATATTTTAATGTTCACTATTAAAGTAAATATATGGGGTAAAAGAATTCTTCATGTAGCTTTTGTTTTTCCAAAAAATCAAGATATAAAATTACTCCAATGATGTATAATATTTGCACAATGGTTTTATTACCTAAGGATTTAATCCTGACTCCAAAGACCATTATTTTTGGCTAAGATATTTTAACCCCCCCAAAAGCTGCTTATTTAGTACTGAACTAAAAAAAGAAACAAAGAAAAAACACTTAACCCAAAAGCCAATATCCAACACAATATGCAAATTTTTGAGCAGTAAAGTTGCCAATCAATTACTTAAAAAAAACTACACACACATTGCATTTCTAACTACATCACTAGCCTGAAGATTTCATATAAAGATATTAAGTCTCTTCCTCAAACTTATATGACGATTTTGTGCTGGAGTCCGCTTAAGACCACCAGGTTTAATCACTTTGTTTACTTACTACTCCATTCTTGAACTGTTAAAGACAGAATTATAAGATTTTATCATTTTAATTACTTATATTAGATAGTATCCTACAGTGAAGGAAGTGATTACAATGCTATACACTAATAGTCATCTAAGATAGCAAAGCAATGGCATTTACCTTAAATTTACGTCTCTGCACTGCACAGCTGTTGAAGAACCACAAGTCTGTCTCATGGCTGTAAATGTAACAAGAACAATAATGCGACCAATTTTCAAACCTAAACTAAATTAACTAGATTTGTCAAAGGCTAGAAAATTGATAATGTATTTTACCCAAAAAAACCCCAAACCCCCTAAAATTTTTGTGTACATGCGCATGCTTACAAGTATGTGTGTGCATGTGAACAACTCTGTATTGTATTTTACTCATTGTAATTTGGAAATTAGTCTCATAAAACTGAATCTATTCTATCTTCCCTCTGCCTACCTTTCCTCATGCTGAATGACTGTGGGTACAGGAAGGCTAGGAAAGGCTAGAAGTAAATCAAACAACTGAAAACCAGAGGCGGTCTTCACTGTCCCTAATATGGTATGTTTTTCTGGGATATAGAAAGAATGTAAAGACAAAGTATTTGGCAATGCTTAGGTTAATATAGCTCCCATTTGCACCAAAGTCGTTTTATATTGTTCATCAATATGTCATATAATCGATGCATTACTGATTGGGCCTATTAAACTTTTGTTTCAAGTGATAAACAGAATATGTACATGTTTCAAGTATGCAATCATATATATATACATATATATGTGTATATATATGTATGTCTATGTATATATATGAAAGGGAAGTCACTCCTAGACTTGGTACTCAAGTTTGTGAAATGTGATGATTTTTAATTTTCATTTTGCTTTAAAATGTGCCATCTGTAGCACAAAACCCTGGAAAATGTAAATGAACAAGTCATAGTAAATAAATACTCTCTGGTAGGAATAGATTCTGTCCCAGGCCACCCTCCAAATCTGGCCACCTCTCTTCAACATTTAAGAGAAGTTCAGGTGAGTGACATGAGCAACTGAGTATTGTTCTTGTGACTTACTTAAGCCATCAAAACAGATTTTTACAAATCTGTATTTTTCTCTCAAAACTTATAAAATAATTTTCAGTCAAAACTGTACTTTAAATGAAAAACACAGAAAATATGTTTTGGTCTTCTAAAGATGTTATGCATGAGACAGCAAGAAACATTATCCAGTAGCAACAGATACCTTGACTTGAGAATTCAGATTTTGAAACTTTCTCAACTACCCTTTTAAGTTCTTAGAAAATAACCTATACATTCACTGTTTGAAAGGTTGGTTAACCCCATCATTAAGTAGAAAAAGAACTATACTATGAGAGAATTTTGTAGAAAAAAAATCAAATATTACTTTCATATTCAAAGCTAAAATTTATTAAAAAATGGTTAAAATTTTTATCGAAATTTTCGATAGTGCAACTGGAGAATAGTGTAGTTTACACTCAATTGTATATATAGATGCAACATTAAGTAGTACTTAATGTCCTTGTAAGACAACAGATGTGTAAGCTACTGTTAAATGCTATTAGGTTTTATTAGCTTTTATTACAATCTGTCTTTAGTTGCTAAGATTATCAAGTATTGTGAAATATTAAAATTCTAGGTTCACATTATATTAAACTTGGGTTATATTTTGGAGGTTAAGTAAATCTTCATTCATTATTTCTAATTCTCATTCATAAAAAAACAGCCTCTCATTCCTATATACTTTGGCATTACCAAAAAAAAAAAAGAACAACAATAAAACCCAAACCAAACCAAACCCATTGCCATATATTTAGATTAATATGCATCACAAAGCAGTAAGTATAAATGACACAATGACAGTCTTTGCAGTAATGATCAGCAACCAAACATGTGAAAATGAATATATAATAATTTTAAACACTCTTTCAGGGTACAATGACAAAATGAGGGTCTTCCCAAATTTTATTTATGTAAAAATTAGAACATGAGCAATAAATCCTCATTGTAGGGCTATTATTCCCACATATTCTGTGTTTGTAATTTCCAAAAAGGGGCTGGGGGGGGTGCATATCTTAGTTAAGCAACATATCATATCTGGCCTACCTTTACAACAAAAGTCAAAACTTAAGAAAAAAAAAAAGAAGGGGGGAGGGAGGAGCGGGGAGGGAGGGAATAAAAAGAGGAGCTGATACCAAGGGCTCAAGTAGAAAGCAGGTATTTTGAGAATGATGATGGCAACATATGTATGAATGTGCTGGACACAATTAATGTATGCATGGCTTGTGATCAGAGTTGTATGAGCCCCTAATAAAATAAATAAAAATAAATAATATTTTTTTAAAAATAAAGAGGAAGAAAGAAAAACAAGCCCAGTCATTATTTGCAGAGATACCTTGGTAACCAACAATAAACAAACTTCCACTGTACTTAGTTTTGAAGAGGATGAAACAACTACTATGAATTCCTCTATTTTGTCAAGACATCATGAAATAAAACTATAGTGTTCTTTTTCTTCACATTTTTAATACAATAATTTCTTTTCTAACTTCCAGCCTCCATATAACTTATTTCATACCTAAAAACAAAGCAAAATTCCCAATCAGAAGCCATAGGAAGGGTCAACTTGTCATCCCCTACCCACTGTGACATCTATGTGAATTTCTCTCTGTCATGTAAATGAATTCAGAGTGTCTCAATGCATCCAGTAGCTGATGGGGATACTCCCGGTGTTACTAGGTGGGGAGGGATGCAATAGAGAGGAAAGTGTGGCAACCCAGAATTACTGCATAGTTAAAAGAGTGAGGAATTTATTTTAAGAAAAAAAGAATTAGAAAGAGGATTCAATGAAGCTTTCATTTGCAATGATGGCAGCTGGCTGAATGTCAGAGAAACGCCTTAGTCCCAAGTCCCTCCTCTCACTCCACACATGGATTTGTTCCTACATGAAATAGCCTCTCATCTCAAATGTATCTAAGGACCAGACATTCCATCCAGTTTCTGGGTAACAGGTAGTTTCTGGATTGCGTCCATCAGTCACATGTGTGCCACCTGGCACACCACCTATGCCTCGCCTCAAAAGGTCATGCTGTGACAGGAGGTAACTCACAACTGTGAGTACACCTGAGCATGGAAACAGAAGCAAGGCCACGCACTATCCCAGGGCTGCTTCATGAAAATAACGCGCCAAGACGGATGCTGGTGCCTTTTCCTCAAAAGTAAGCTTCCCTCACTAGATATGATTTTTGATTGAGACGGTTGAGGGGGGGAATGGGGTAAAGTATCTGTTACCTTTCAATATATCTGATAAACATTTTGAGAGGCATTTTATGCAATTCCAGATCTACCTTCCAAAGTTTTTTGAATCAAATGTTTTATTTACCCTGGGCAATATCCTATAAATTTTGGTTAGAAAACACTATCAAACAATGGTTATATTTTATAACAAAAAGTTACTTAAAAACACACACACACACACAAAATCAGTTTCCCAAGACAAACATAATGAGTAAGGACGACAAACTCCAGAATGTGTTTTTATAACTGTAGCAACAGCAATAACTCCTAGGCAAACTCAAACCGTTTTTTTCCTGCCAACCCTGGAGGCTCTTCGCATTTGTCACTTGGGTTCAACGGCAATGTGAATTGTCTCCGGCTGCTTTGTTTTCTTGCACACCGATTTACTATGACTTTGCTTTTAAGGGAGAATTTTCACATTTTAACCTATTTGTGACTAAAACCTCCATTAAAATCCCACAAGGGAGTTTGATACAAATATCTTTATGCCTATGAATACCAAATGTGGCTCCCCACATAATTTTTGCAATGAGTGACCTTGTCAACTTTTGAAATCTATGCTAATAGAAAATTATTTTTTCTCTCTCTCTTAAGGAGCTACAATGCATTCTAGGTTTGAATGAAAATTACTTGCATATATGAATGTAATAACTTCCTGTATCTATACAACGGCGTCCCCGCATCTGTGATCATTTTGCACATCTTTTAAAGTAAGACCCCAAGGGCAGGAGCACGTTACTGACCTGCAGTGGTCTCTGCTTCTCACTGCTCTTAGGAGACTTCAAGCCACCTGTTTGCTGCTGTAAGAGAAGTTGTCTGGCAGCCTGGAGAGCCTGGAAGTAAAAATGCAACAATATCTAAACATTCTGTTGAAAGGGAAACTGATTACCCGTTATTCCTTAGCTAATAAATAGTAAAAGGCTTCCATGTATGAGCATCCCCTATCCTCTTTTCTAGAGGGAATCATTAAATATTCCCTTTCTTCTATTATACAAAAAAAGAAGGAAGAAAGTTAAAAAAAATTCACATAACACACGTATATAACTTCACTGAAAATTATGGGGATACATGTAGTCCTGCAGGAAATAAAGTTAATTTGTTTAAAGTGCTTAAAGAGGAAAAATCATAAACTGCATCAATAACCTCATTTCCACAAGGAACTTGTCTTTGAGTATTCGACTAAAATGCCCACTCCCTTTTAAATTATCCTTCAATTTGCATTTCTACATTACAATTTTGAAGCAAAAGCAGTAGACTTCAAGTGTTACCGGAAGCTGTAATTAAATTTGACAAATCAACATCAGATTATCTTGAAAGTGAATTAATAAGGATTTTCACTAAAGATTAAAAACACTTTTTTATTGTACTTACAATTCAAGGGGAAACCTCTCCTTTGACAAAATAAAGTGCAGTTTTAATGCCATATAAAATTGAGTGGTTTTCATTTGCATTCTTAGCAAAATCAGAGAACAAAGAAATTACCACTCAACCAATCAGGTTTGTTTCTATGTGTGACAGAATACCAATCAAAATAGAAGATGTTTTCATTTATTTTTATGTTTTCATTCTCACTCATGAAAATAAAACTTAACATACGAAATTAATGTGAGCATTTCACTTCTTGGAAGAGGGACAGTTAGGTGAATGTACTAAATAAACTTTAAAAAAATTTGATGTTAGAAAACAAAATATACATTGAGTCATTTTAAGGTGAACAGTACAAACTAATGGGAAAAAAACTTTTTAAGAGTTTCTACTTAAAAATCCCATTTTCTCTTCCAATCACCGGGGTTAATGAACATTACTGATAAAATATTTCAATGTATAAAATAAAAAATAAGCCACTGACTACTTTGCTCACTATTTAGAAAGCAAGATGCCTTTTTTCATAATGGGGAAAATATCATTAAATCAGCATATTCTATATTAATTAAGATTCTCAGATAATAAAAAGTAAAATTTTGATCGGAATCAATGATCTGGTTTTTAAGAGAATTTCTAGTATCCATGACAACAGTTGCTTTGACAAGATGTGCATATGGCATTACACTGCCAGCTGGTGTGAACAATGTTTGAACTACTGCATTGAGATGCTGAGCAAACAGAAAAAGTTGCCACGTCTTAACCCTCAGGGAAGGCAGTCATCCCCTGATCAATTATGAAAAGACAGAGAGGGCTGCTACAGTCTGTCTCCAAGCAAGTTCTCTGAGAAGCAGGCAGACATGGAAACCAAAGTAAACAAACGGAATGCACTAGCACCATCGCCTAACAGCATTGATTTGTCTCCCATAACAGGATCTGGCATAGTTTGTAAAGCAGACTTTTTACTTTGGGAGACATCCTCACTTCCCAAAACCTGCCTTTTGTTTTTCAATTTGCAAGTCATTAGAAGCGAACCTAAATGTTCCCAAGGATGACAGATTCCAGTAGTATCCTCAGACAATTTATTATAGCATCCAGTTTGAGACAAAAATGTAACAACAGTGGCAGCAGCAATCCCATACGTATTTTATTGTCTCAAAACTCCCTGTTTGAAAAAAAAACACAAACCCTTGATATTCTAGAGGGTAGAACTTTCTCCTTTAAATTCCAACTAATAAAATAATGTCAAATGCTATTTTTCAAATAGAAATCACTAATGTATAATTAAGGTTGTGTCTATGTAAAAATTCTCAAAAGAGGAAACAGTCAACTATTTTACTGCTTTCATATCAAAATCTGTGTAAAGTTTGCCTAATTTTTTCATGTTTTTGCTTCCCTTTGAGCTCATCCTTTTATTTTGTAAAGCCACAGCCCCATTTCTATTGAATTCTGCAGTAAATGATTATTCTTAAAGGATTATAATGAGAACAGTGTAGAATCCTGGATTCAAGAATGATTAGGACTAAAAGCAATCATAGAAATCAAAGAACCTGACCCCCTCATTTTTGCAAATGAGAAAAATGAGATCAGGAGTACAAACAGTTTATTCAAGGTCACAAAGCCATTTATGAGTGCTTGTTCGAGGACCCCTTGGATACAATCAAGCTAGAGCACATTCTAGAACATCACACAGTCTCTGTTCCATCCACGGAATTATTTGATGGCCATGAGTAAGTCTCTAAAGTCCAGGAGAAAAAGGCATGTGACAACCTAATGAGACCAGCTGTCCTGGCAAAGAAAGCATGTTTTAACTTAAAAAGACACCCTACTATAGTCTTCTTGCTTTGAATGTGTTTCTAAATAGAATAACTATCACAAACAAGAATCAATCACTCTTATGATTAACTGCTCCCACTCCTCTGGACTGGGACCTCAGTGCAAAATCCACCAACTGTTGGCGGAATTCTGTACTCTTAACAACCTGATCGTGTAACCAGGTGTTCCTAATAGAATTGCAGACACCTCGAGCTGGCCTTAGCTTTAGAAATTATCTAGCCTTGCTTTTTCTTAATGTAAATATGTAACGGATGACCCACTACTATAATAACTTGATTAAAGGTATAAAGCAGGGAAACAGCAGAGCCTGGTCACCAACATGGTCTCTGGTCTCTCAAGCCGTGGTTCCTGCCCATTTATCCAAAAAGGTATTATATTCACTCCACTCAACCTCAACAGGTAACCCTCTGGGATATAACAACTCCCAATGGCTTTAAGAGACATCCGAAAGCTAGATAGGTGAGAGGAACTTCAAAAGTTGGTGGGGAAAAAAAATCCATAATCTTTTCATTCTTTTCTCCCCCACCAACTTCTGGAAGCCCTTGTATTAAAACTGCCGTCCAACAAAGTAACACCAGACAAAAGCATACACACCCATTCATCAAGGAGTCATAATAATAACAAAACACCAACGGACAGCTGACAGACACACATCTCTTCTTATTAAACTCCCTGGGCTCTCAGGGGCATTTACAATTTTCTTTAAAATAGTTGAGGATCATCTTTCAATACACACTTGTAAGAAAAATAACGACTTGCCCATTTCAACATTCTTTCCATATTGGAAGAGATGGCTACAGTAAACATAAGAGGCAGAGGAGCAAAAGGCAATTCCGAAAGATCAGGGGTGATTTAGAACTCGTCGGCAGAAATCTTTGGCAGTGGGTCTTCTCACTGCAAACAGATATCACATGACATTTTTATTTCCAGTGTTCTGGCTCACACTGTAAGGCCAAATTTAAATAAACAGTTGCTCTGAGACATGAAGTTCATCCTTGCCATTTATTATCGCAGCTACTCAAAAGCTGAAAGATTATGAGATAAAGCACGTCCATCTATATATCAGATGTCAGTTGTCAAATTGGACAAAATCTTAATTTGGTAACCACTTGTCCACTTCAGTCAGTAAATACAACAGACAAATTCTGGGGTCATTTATAAAGCACCGTGAAGCATTTCATTATTTATATGATCGCCCCTACCCCCAAAATTAATTTTGAATAAAGGTGGCAAAAGATATTTACTAAATTCCTCTTCACATTGGCCAAGGCGCATCCAAATGAACCACAAGAGAGAGGTTTCACAGGCAGCCACAGGAGAGCTAGTTTCCAAAACACATTTGCTTTTAATTAAGGGTGCACTTCGTTTAAATGAAGTTATCTAATTTTAGTAAAGCTTAAGAAAACTAAGATAGACCATTTGAAAACTGGAATCCGATTAAATTAAAATGTTTCCAAACCCTGAATAAAACTATCTCCGTAAGAGGTGAAAGGAATCCATGTTTGGAGCTGCACCGCTGTTGGGGCACACCCACTTTGGTGCCCGTTGCTCTAAACTGAAAACACTGCTCCTGCAGTTACTGCCTCCTTTCACCCAAACAACACGTTCTTGAAGAAAAACAAACCACCAGCACAGTAGCAATAACTTGAGACTAGTTACGAACGTCATGGACAAAGAGTGGTTTTCATGACCGGGCCCTTGTGAGACTTAATAAAGGGTTTTAGGCAAACTTTGTCACCAGTCAGATCAATACTTACTCCTCCCTCCTCCCATCTCACCCTGCAAGAACACCCAGCACTGTCACCGGCGTTGCTGAAGAACAGCGACAGCCAGGGAAGCGCAAACATGGTCCAGCCACTAAGGTTTGTCAGTAACTTTTTTTTTCAAAGTAAATATATGTATATTTTGTGGAAAAACAGACATCAGTCATATCCTTCCCTATAAAAATAGGAATGCTTAACCTATCAGCCTGTTGCATTTGAGACATTAAAATGAAAAATGGCATCTACGCCCATTAATATCTTCAATGTATAAACAGCACAGCGTGGCACATTCTTGAGAGCTGAAGGGTACAAAATCTCTCTGAAACATAAATAACAAAGCACTCAGAAGCATATTTGATGTTGATATTCATCTCTGAGAAAAACACTGCTGCCTAGGCTTCTTATGAAAATAGATACAGCCCAAATGGATCTCCTGTAATTGGTTTCAGATAGCGAGGTCAGAAGAAATATGATACAAGAAACGATTATGTGGAACAGGCGAAACAAGAATGTTTACACAGGCACTCCCCAGTCAGACTGACAAGGGGTGTATACTTTGCAGATAACCAGAACCACCCCCCAAAACTGCCAGCAGGACAGCCAGATTTTTGCTCCCCAAGTTCATCTATTTTAACCTTGAACATATTTGGTCTTTAATATGTTACTCTGAACATTGAACATAAAACAAGTTTTCAAACAGAATTTTTGAATAAATATTTATTCAATTTATTCAATTCAAAAAAATCAACAAGTGGAGTTGATTTTAAAAAAGTAGATTCAGATTCTTCCACAAAGGATATGAATCCTTGCTCTGTTCCGCCTCCCCTTGCATTATGTTCCCACTACAGGGAATGCACGGATAAATGTAATCT